GGCCCCACCCCTACCTACTGTCACCAAAAATGGGCAAATTATGCTTTCATTACTAAGTAGTGGTCCAAACATGGCCCACAAAAGATTACACACATTGGGAATATAGCAGGGCATACAAAAATGAGAAATAGAAAGGAGATATCACCCTGGGGCATGACCTGGTAAGTTGTCCTCAAGAAAAACATCATGCGAAGAATAACGTCTTCTGGGGATGCTATGCCACACACGAGGTAGCACACGCTCGCCAAATGTCGCTTCAGTGCCGCCAAGGAGGAGTCGCCATGGCCGAGCTCGCACACCGGCTGCCACTAGCAAGTGAAGAGGAACATTAGGGAAAGGACCTCCAGTTGATCTCACAACATCGGATCTAGAGGTTGAGACTAAAGAAGTGACGGATGATGTTGGTGCACATGCTTCGGCATTAAAAGAACGCCCTTGGCCGGGCTGACAACTCCAATCGTTGGTTGAGCAATGCCTCTACCAAAATTTGATGGTTGTTGAACCCCCAGACACCTAGCGGACCTCCGGACTGGAGGTTAAAAAGGAAGAGCAAGAGCCAACCAAGCTCAACATTATTTGAGGAAGGCTTTCCTTTGATGCATAAAATTGGTGAGAAATACCACCAAAGGAGAAAAGAGACCCCGCATAAGAGGGGGATGACAACATGCATCACCTCAGAACCTACCCGTTTCGAACAACGGGGAGAAGAGGATAAAGCACCCAAAAATGAAACTCAACATAGAGGGAAGGATTATGGATATGACCCCTAGAGGACAGGAGGAGAAATCGGGCTTTTATTGGGACTCAAAATGAAAGAATAAGCAGAACAGGAGGCCAGACAGGTCCATGACCACGTCTTCCATGGAAAGATGAGGAGAGGGAAGGGAGATCCGATCTGATAGAAACCAAGGAGGGATTAATTATGTGGGCACCCCTGGCCATGGCAGAGACAATATCGACGCTAAGGAGAACCACGATGAGGACAACGCCAAAGATGACCACTAATAGAGCTCGTCGGCTCCCCTAGTATGAGG